GGGATAAAAACATTGCATAAAGATGGGAAGGAGACAATTGAGAAACAAAATTTCAATGTTGCTTCAAGAATTAACAAAGGATGGAATGAAATCATTTTTCAACCCGGTAACTAGATTTGGAAACATTTTCGCAAGGAGTGATTCCCATCTCAAAGGAAGACAAAGTTACATCCAAGAGGGGATGACCCTTATCAAGTCCTTGAAATAATTAATAACAATGCATATAAAATGATCTTCCAGGAAAATTTTCAGCACATTCTACTTTCAATGTTGCTGACTTGAGTCCTTTTGATGTAGGTAATGATTTTCTGATTCGAGGACGAATCCTTTTGAAGAGGGGGAAGATGATAAGGATCACGGTGTTCCAAATGTTCCAACTGGACCTATTACACGATCCAAGGCCAAGAAGATTCAACAAGCATTCATTCTTCATCTACAAAATTGGATAGGCTCGGTTCAACTATTATTTCATGTGTTACAAGCTTATTCGATTGAGGAAGAATCATTTGGAGATTCAGAAGTGAATATTTACACGGTTGAAGGAGCAAATGAAGTTGCAAGCATCATTACATGAGTTTTAGAAAACTTTATTTATTTTTAATTTCATAAAGTTTGTAATGGTAGAATTGTCAAATTGACTTCGTTTGTTTTTTTGGAGATTTAAGGGGATCGAGATTAAATCCCGACCACTAACTTCTTTTGTGGGAGACTATAAATACCCACAAATTATTATGTAAAAATCAGATTTGTGAGGAATGAAATTGATCTCTCAAGTTGAGAAGTTCCCCTTCAAAATCCGAGCATCATCTATGCAAGTTTCATGCCATTCTTTGGGTAGAATTGCATGTGAGCCATGCAGTCACGCTTTGACATTATGCGGTTGAGTGAAATTCTTAACCTTCTACTTATTTTTGGGATTTCTTTTTTTCGTATTCATTGTAATTTATCCTGATACAAACAAGTTTATTTTTGTAGGGAATTATTAAGCACATGGATTTATTAATTATGGTGAACTTTTGTATAAAACGAAGTAAATACAAATGGAGTAACATGAGATAGAAGTAAACATAGTAATAAAAAGAAACTACATAAACTTAAAGGAAGTTAATCCCATTTTACAATATAAATATTGTTTAATTGTAGCAAAGAAGTAGTTTTGAAAACTAGCCACTCCAGATCAATCTAGGTTTGAAAAACTAAAATAAAGAAAAAATAAATAAATAAAAATATTTTTCAAAAACTTAGTTGGGTGTGAAATTTTGCTTAAAATTCAAATGTTTTCTTTTCTTTTTTTTTCTTTCTTTTTTTTTCTTTATTTTTTTTATAAAAGGATAAAACACATAATTTTGAAATAAAACAAAAAAAAAAATAATGAGTTTAAAATTACCAAACAAAATATCAATTTTCAAATGGAATGGAGACATAAGACCATTCAAAAAAAGAAAAGGACAAAAGAAAAATATTAAATACATTTTAAACTAATGCATTTGGTTGAGAGATATTATGGCCAATATAAGAAAAATAGAGCATTAACTAATTTTCATGGACACATATGGATGCTTAGCATACTAAAATGACTGTTGTTATGGGTATCAAACCAATAACAATTCATATCAGCTACCAATTGATAATTAGGTGAGAGAAAGAACTTGAATTTATTTTTATATCTATCAACCTGTTTGCTACTTTTATCTAAAACTTGGTCACGAGTTTTTCTTATTTGCATTGTAAAATTATGTATTTCTATGGATATCATTTCTATTTCTAGAATTGAAACAAAAACATGTGGATAAATTTCAAATATTAGGGCGCATAAAAGATATGGACCAGCAACTAAAAATGATAGATCCACTACAAGGCATTTGGTCTAGTGGTATGATTCTCGCTTTGGGTGCGAGAGGTCTCGAGTTTAATTCTCAAAATGCCCCCAACAACTATATCAAATTGAAGCATGCAATATAATAAGATTTGAAATAGGTTTTTTAAATCTTGAACCAATAAGTAATTTAGATGGATATTTGGAAAGAAAAAAAAAAAGGAAGTTATATTTAATTATAATTTACAAGTGTCTTTATAACATGTTAATTGAAGAGAGCAAACAACAAGAATAAACAAACAAGTGTATGTATCATTCTCTTCAAATCTTGGAAACTACGAGGATTCCTCTCCTTTCTTGACATAAATACTTGCTTTTTCGGGACTTGGACCATAAACAGTCATCTACTCTTACTCCTACTCCCTTCTCTAAGAATCAACAAAGCATAATCATTCCATGAAGGCCGAGGTAGTCTTATAAAAGAAGATGAGGGTACCACTTACAAATCATTCCACAAGAACTTGAGAGAAAGTTTTGTAAAAGAAGATGAGGGTACCACTTTCTATTGCAGAATTTCTATGTGAATAGAGAATGAACCATATTCTTGGGAGATAAGATAGAGCCTCGAGCCTAACTTCAAAGGCATTACACCAATTGTTCTATGATTTTTTTTTTTAGGAACTCTTTGTTATGTTGTCCGCTGAAGGTTTCAGGAAAAGGACACAGATTCTCTATTGCACTGATCTCCCAATAGAAGTTTTACCTAGGTCATCTGTCGTCACAATCCTTTTAAGGAAGATGCGCCCAAGTAACCAGTGAACAATAACATTTAAAGAAGTTTGAGACAGAGAGAAGAGGATTGTGATAGAAGTTTTCCTAGGTAAAATTTCTTTAAATGTCTTAGCCAATCATGTCCTCATAATGAGGAGTCTCTTAGACAACAATAACATATGGACAACAAATGTCTTAGCCAATTGTGACGGTCATATAAAATTGCTCAAGGCGTGTCGCCCAAATAATCGGTAAACAATAACATTGCCCAAATAACCGCCTTGGACAACAAATCGTTTACGAGAATGGCTGAGACATGCAACATGCAACCACAGGCAACACGTCTTGGACAATCATGATTGTGACATCTACCCCCACACAATTTATTGGATGAGGCTGACTTTAGGTCTCTCGATGCGCTTCAAGTTGATCTCATAATGAGGATTCTCTTCCAACCTACTAGGTGCTGTTGAAAATCACTTCTCGGTTTGTTGAGTTATCATGTCTTCTCTGTTCGTGTCTTTCCTACTTTCTTCGCTTGAAACTTTTTCTTATTTGTATGACGTCATACCACCTGCTTCTGCTTGATGTCTTCTTGGTTGAAATAATAACGTTTCAAGTTACTAATGTGGACAACAAGGTTAGTCCGCAACCATAAGAGCAATTGGATTCTATATGACGTCTTCATAATCTTATGGATAACTTTAACTAGTCAATAGTATTTTTACAGCAGTTTTTGGTTCTTGTTGCTTTGAACTCGAAGTTTATCTGAACTTAACTTATATGAACTCTTTATTTTTCTTGAAATTATTGTGGTTGACGCTTTAACTCTTTATTTTTCTTGAAATTATTGTGGTTGACGCTTCCGACTGACCCTTCTCTTCATTCGTCTAGATGATATTTCTATGTGAACATGTGTTGCTTCAGTAGTTTGTTTCTGTCTCCCTTATTCAGTCTCTGACCTTGTTTTTGTCTCTCCTGGTGGGGATATATCCATTATCTGACCTTGTTTTGTGTCGTTGTGTTCATGTAGTGGCAACAAGGTTTCTATTGAGGTTGGCTCACTCGAGCTCCCCTTTTCAATTACAACAATAGCAGCAAGGGTAGATTCATCATGACTATGATTCTTTCTCAACTGTAGTATCAACATCATTTTCAACCCTCTTGGTTGATGGATGTTTTTCTGAATGATCGTCGGGTTAGACTCCGTTACTACTAGACATTTTGGTAGGGGCATGTAAATGACTTTGTGTTTCAGCAGGACATTCATTCCTGACACGACGTCGAAGTCATCCATTTCAACTATCACTAAACAATTTGCCTAGTCCAAGGATCCAGCTTGATTAGAGCTGTCATTGTGACTCTTAAGACAAGTAAAGCTTCCAATTTGACGGCGTTCATCTTTCCTGTATCTTTATGCCAAAGGATGTTAAAATATTTTGCATCAGTCTCCATCATGAGTTGTGGGTGGCTCTAGAGTTGACAATGGTACTCCTTACTACTTTGTGCTTTACCCAAACCTCGACATACATAATATATATATATATATATATATTCATTTAACTATAACACATATGGTCCATGGAAGAATTGTAACTCTTATGCTCATTAATATTATAATGGCTACTACCTAAATTATAACCTAAAGTTTATAATTGATGTCCAATTAGCCAACCCTAAATTTGTAATCATTGTGGAGTGATTGAAATTACAATGGAAGTAGTTTAAACTCCTAGTACCTTAAATGAAGTTGGTCTCTTCTAATAAAACACGAATTTCTCTTTAATATCATTAATACAATTATGCTTCATCTTGAACCTACTAAACATGAAACTAAAACTGCGTTCAATTTAACTCTATTTTATTGTCATCTTGAATGACGTGTAGGATATATTCTTGATTTACCTTGATATTTCATATTAGTTAAGCTTTTTGCAAAATCACAATTAGACAACAACAAAGATGAATGTAACGCCCCTAATTTTCTTTAACCTAATTAGTGACGTCACCCATGCATACTTATCTCTTTAAGCGGAAGCTCATCATAAATAACCTTGAAAGAGTCTTTCATAAATATTCATGAATCCAAAACAAAACCTAAACTCCGAAAATAATCCTTCAATACTGAATTCGAAATAAATCCAAATGAAAGAATACTCAATGTAAAACTTAAAATAGTCTAATAAGAGTAAACTCCTAAAAATATCTCGTCTCCAACTTCCATGGTGGCCTCAGCTCTGCCGTCAACCGTACATTGGCGCCTTGCCTTTACCTGACAAATGTAGGTAGCACGTGGCTTGAGTATTTTATGAAATACTCAGTAAGTCACCCCACTGTTGGGGTTAGGAATGCAAACACATGCAACATATGAGCGGGACCTAACTTTTCATAAACTTTTCATAGCCTTGGGCGCTTTTCTATTCCGAGTAGGGTTGGATGTGGTACTCCTTCACACATGGCCCATGTACGTGTACATGAATCCCACCAGGCGGGCTCATAAACATACCCCCTAGGCCTGACTTGGTCGGGCACAACGTGTTACACGTAGCCGGACACCACAGAACAGAAAAGGGCCTGCATGATATCATGGTGAACATAAATATCGTATTTCATTCTTTCGTATCATAAAGGGGAAGAATCCCGATGCACGTAACATACATATATGCATGAGGTCCCTTAACATATCTAACATGGCATTACATAAGCAGTGCTAACATCGCATTTACGTTTCTTACATCACATGGCATCTCACATGACTTACATTACATGGCATATTACATAATATTCCAGTTGCATAAACATCTCATGACATGACTCGATAATTCTACGTGTATCTATGACATCAATCAACATATTCATGGCATATAATACTATCATCTCATTCATGACATAACATAAACAGTCAACCGTCAACACGAGTTCATACATCACATAACATACACAATCTACGTTCAACACAATCTATACATCACATAATCATATCACATAAAATATGGTGCATGCAGGGCCACAGGGCACGCACCATCATACAACACGTAGAAAGCTAACTCCAACAGTAAGGTCACTTACCTCGATGATCTTGGTTGAAGTCACTCACAACGAGCTAATCCCAGTGGTTAAATATGTCCTATGATAACCACATAAAAATTTAGAACTTTTCATAAGGTACCCTAGCTAAACCTCATGCTATTTATCAAAATAAACCCTCGACCTAATCTGTCTTTAACGTTTAGGAGCCATACTGACCTCGGATGGTAAAACTAAGGGCAGAAACGGCTTCGGAAGGGCTAAAAACCTTGGAATCGATATATTATAGTGATACCGATTCACCAAGCCGAGCTGCCGAGCCGACCAATTAAGCCGCCAAGCTAAGCTGCGGGATTTGACGGAGCCGAGCCGCTGTACACATCAAGCCGAGCCGAGAGCACGCGTGCGGAGCCGAGACCAAGGCTGCAGCGCGCGTCCACATTGGGCCGAAACGCACAGGGCCCGCGTTCGTTCCATGGGCTGGTCCAGAGGCCAAACGTGAACCCGACCCGTTTTCCTTCGTCTTCCTTACCCGAAATCTCACGAAAACCCTAATCGTCGCTGCGCCGCCAACGATGACGTCACAACCTCGATTCTGACGATGCGACGACACCACTCGCCTATTCCGACCGACGCGCAACGATATTGACCACCGATAGCATCGGTCGCTTCTCCCTCCGGCCACTCATCGAAGAAAATCCAGCGAACCACCTCACACGTCTTTCTTGGCTAACCCTCTCGCTTTTTCCGTACTCTCAGACACCCTCGAAAACCCTAAACGTTTGGAGAGAAAAAGTTGTTTCTAAGGAAGGAGGAGAGTTGTATATGAGAATATAAAAGGTCTTTATGACTTCTCAATCAAGGTAGTAATTTCCTTGCTAAAAATAATACCTTTTCCAACGACAATAAATGCAGCATAATATCTTTTCGTTTTGGCAGCAAAAATAAAATCTTAGCATAAAATCTAAAATAAATAAAATAAAAATTCGAATCCTTACAATGAACTTGGGTTTGTTTATTATTATAAAGAAAATTTCTTTCTCCATCTAACTAAATTCATATTACGCTAAGAAACAAATATTTTACTCGCAAAAGGTAAAATATGCAACTTTAACTAAAATTTCATCTAAACAAATTTTATTGCGATACAACATAGATGACAATTATAGCCTTCAAACAAAAACTAGAGTAGTTGTGGTGAACGGGATAGAAACTCTAGTGTTCATCCATAATATACAACCACTACCTAAATTATGACCTAAAAATTTGAAAACATAAGTTGTAGTTGAAAATTACATAAAACAATCCCTTAAATCCAAGAACTCGTGTCCAATTAGTAAATCCTAAAGATAGTAGCTAACATAGAGTAATTGAAGCTCCATAAGAAGTAATTTAAAGTTCCAGTTACTTACTAAAGTTTATCTCGTCTTTAATGAAGCATGAATTGCACTTAAGTTCATGAAATGTTTATAGACTCCAACTCTTAGTACTATTAATGCAATTATATTTCATATGAGTTTGTCATAAAACAAACTATGGTACATTCAATACAACTTCATTTTTTTGTCATACGAAGCAAAATAGAGGAATTAAATTAAACAAACTGATGAACTGAGTCGACTAAATCCAACCCAACCCAAACGGATTACTTGCCTTAGCTTTCTTAACCAACATCTCCGGTTTCCCCCGAACCAAGAGGTCCTGCTTATCCATACCCAACAGTCACACTTTCAGCCGAAAGACTGGTTTTTTCATAAAGTTAGTTCATATATCAAGAAAGAATGAAGCTGCTTACAGGGACGATTACGCAATACGTCTTTTCATACTCGCCTTTTCTTTAACCCTGCTATCAACCTAGCCATTCTCACTTGTTGCTTTAAGGGGTCTCCCCACTGTAGATTACTCGGATTGGTTCTCGCGTCCCTGTGCCAAAAAGGATGGGCGAATTTGGTTTGAGTGTTCATCGATTGGGTGAATCCATATGCTCCGGGGGGTGAGACGAGGTGTAGCGCAGTCTGGTCAGCGCATCTGTTTTGGATATGTTGTCCGCTAAAGGTTTTAGGAAAGGGGGTACAAATTTTCTACATAGGTCATCTGTGGTTACAATCCTTTTAAGGAAGATGCTCCCAAATAATCGGTAAACAATAGCCTTTAAAGAAGTTTCAGAGAGCAAGAAGAGGCAGAACAGAGAATAGGAGTGAGTCGTGCAAGGAAGAAGAAACTAGTAGGTTTAATTTGGGTTCGTTTGAACTAAAGAACGAACCAAAATTTTTCAAGCGAACCCAAATTTAAGACTCACTAGCCCAAAGTCTAAATGTGGTTAAAAAAAAAACCTTCCGTGGCCCAATCCTTATTCGTAGTCCGCATCCAACCATTTCTTTTTCAACCTACATGTATGCTCCAGGCAAAACTCACGTAACTAGTCAGAAGATGCGGCCCACAACTGAACAGAAGATAATTGTCATAATCGCACTCTTGCAGTAGTGAGACAATGATTATTTGACGTTTGTTCTAATCCAATGAACAAGTCAACCATGTAAAATTTAGACAATAATTATGTGATGTTTAGAAGAAATATTTTAGAAAACGCTAGGGAGGAAATACATTAAAAACAATTTCAAATAAAGCAATGTTATAAGCTAAAAGTGAAGAAACAACAACTAGTCACGTTCTCCTATAGTACATTTTGGGACATTTTAGTCCTGATGGGTGTAGATATGATTTTGAGGACTAATCATACACCCCGTATTGGCACAACAATAATAGTAAAGGCCTATCTATGATGAAAGCAAGTAAAAGGGGTTTGGAATGACCATGCCACCATGAATCACAAATCGTTTACAAGAATAGCTGAGACATCTAACATGCAGCCATAGGCAACATGCCTCGGCTAATCATGACGCGACATCTGCCCTTACACAATTTGTCAATATCTCTATCAACCGGCTCTTCATAAACTCAACGTTGTAGGATGAGGCTGACTTTAGGTCTCGTGAAGCGCTTCTAGCTGATCTCAGTATTGAGGAGTCTTTTCCAACCTACTAGGAGTTGTTGAAAATCACTTCTCGGTTTGTTAACTCTTCAAGTCTTCTCTCTTGGTGTCTTTCCTACTTTCTTCGCTTGAAACAATTTCTTCTTTGCATGACGTTATACCACCTGCTTTTACTTGATGTTTTTTTGGTCGGAATAATAATGTTTCAAGTTACTAACGTGGACAACAGGGTTAGTCTGTATCCATAAGAGCAATTGGATCCTATATGATGTCTTCCTAATCTTGTGGATAACTTCGACTAGTCCATAGAATTTTCGCACCAGTCTTTGGTTTTTGTTGCTTTGAACTCAAAGTTGATCTGACCTTAACTTATCATAACTCTCTATTTGCTTTGAAATTATCGTGGTCGACCCTTCTCTTCATCCATCTGGATGGTATTTTTGCGTGAACATGTGTTGCTTTAGTGGTTTGTTTTTGTCTCCCTTCTTCAGTAGAGGTGTTGGCTTGGTGTCTTTGCCAAGCATTTGAGTGATCATTGACAAGAGCCTTTGCAGGTCAAATAAACCCGACTATGAACATGCCATTTTGCTGTTTGTAGAATTCAACTAGCTCAGGCTGAGCCGCATGACATCTATTTGTGGTAGGCAACATAAAACTAATCTTGTGATTTATCTCTCTTGGTGATGTTAAACCCAATATCTGACCTTCTTATTTTGGGTCGTGGTGTTCATGTAGTGGCAATAAAGTTTTTGTTGAGGTTGGCACACTTGAGCTCCCCCTTTTCAAATACAACAATGACAGCAAGTGTAGATTCATCATGGCTAAGATTCTTTCTCAACTGTACTATCGTCATCATCTTCACCTATCTTGGTTAATGGATGTTTGTCTGAATGATCGTTGGGTTAGACTCTGTTACTACTAGGCATTTTGCTAGGGGCATGTAAATGACTTTGTGTTCTAGCAGGATGTCAATCTCCGACTATTTGGGCTCTAGAATGTTGGATATGAAGGCTGACTATTTATAGTAAAAATCTGATAGAGATATATATACTAAATAATTATATATAATAGGCGGTTACATGTAATGAAGCTATATATAATAAATTGAAATCATATGTATACCCATTAGTCAGTGCTTCCTAAATGTACATTTCTCATTCTCCATATCCTCTCTTTGCATACCTAAAGTCATTAATACAAAACCATTAGTCAATATTTCTTCTTACATTTTCTCTATCATGTTCTTTGTGTTCATTTAGACAAAGTGTGTACGTTGTTGTGTGATTCTAATAATTCGTATCAGAGCGCGGAGAGATTCACCACGATCTGTGAAGATGGAAAGTTAAAAGACTGGAATTGAAAAGTTTGATGGATTCGATATCAGTTTCTAGAAGATGCAGATTGTAGATTATCTGTACGAGAAAGATATTCAGGAACCCATTTTGGGGGTGAAGCTGGATACCTTGACCACGGAGGAGTGGAAGCTCAAGGATTGTCACGCCGTAGGGTTAATCTAGTTGACGCTGCCAGGGAACCAAAGAAAGTGCGATTGGAAATGGTCCATACAAACCTTTGGGGACCATCTCCAGTTTCTTCATTTTTAATACCAAAATTTCATGGATTAGATGTCTCGCACTGTGCAACGACAACTCTCTGTTTTCCTAAGGCTAATCAGATATCTCATGACCACTCTTTTCCTCCTCACCATATCTAGACACTATGTCTCATGACCACTCTTTAACGTCCAAGGACATTTTATAACTACCATGAAAATCAAAACATACAATAAATTCATACGTTTTACAACATATCATATACTACAAAATAGAGTTAGACTGCTTACTTGGTCGCGGAGAGACGTGTCATCAAGCTGAGTCATAGAGATATACGACTCTTTATCCTAAGAAAAAATCTATATAATTTAAAATCTGGCTGCTCTGATACTGATCTGTCACATCCCAAATTTCAAGGGTTCAAAACTCAAATAGAAACTAAAATTGAGGGTGAAAACAAATAAAAGTTAAAGTAAATTAATATAAAATAAGAAAATGTTTAAAATTAAAATGAGATTGAGAAAACAATACAACATTAAATATAAAATAAAATAAAATTATAAGAGGGTGTTGTTCAAATTTGTCCAAACAAACAAAAAAAAAGTGTTGGGGATACAATTACAAAAAAAAAAAAAAAAAGTACAAAAAAACTCTAACACAAAGACAGACTAACGCTACATAACAACCCCATCTGTGAGTGCACAACCTTTGAAGGCTCCCTCATCTCGACGGTAAGTTCTATTACGAACCCATCCAAAATAATCACACCTGTGACCGCATCTTCTGACTTTAAACTGCTAGTCTAAACATGGTTTCGTCACGAAAGCTTTAGAGATAAATCTATCTTTACAAAAATATTTTTCTCTTAATTTATAATTAGTCATAAAAAAAATAATTAGGTACAAATTTGGTCTAGAATTCAAAACTTTCAAATCTTACTATTCCTTGACCACATTCAAATCCATATTTTTGAACTCCTGGTACCTTAAATAAAGTTGGTATCCTCTAATAAAATAGGAATTTCTCTTAAGATCATTAAATTCTTATAGACTCCAGGCTCGATATCATTAATACAATTATGTTTTATCTTGAACACGCCAAACATGAAACTAAAGTGTGTTCAATTTAACTCCATTTTATTGCCATCTTGAATGATGTGTAGGGTATATTCTTGATTTACCTTAAAGTTCTTGTGACATGACAGTTCATATTAGTTAAGCTTTTTGCAAAATCACAAGTTAAAAGACAACAACGATGA